CTTATAATTTTACTACATATTATGACCTTTCTAATCTTAAATACAATTCTAAATAAAAGGCAGGTATCATCACTACTGGTGAAAAATAGATTATCTCTTAGAAATAAAGGAGAGTATTAAAAATCTTAAAAAAATTTGAAATTAGTAAATTTTTCAATAGCAATAATAATTGATTCAAATTTGTTGAAATAAAATTAATACAACCTTATCTGAAAATAAATACATTACCTTCTTTAATTAAAATTAGATTTTTGTATTTTAATTCTGAAACTCCTCAATTATTATATTTAGTTATTATAGTTTAAACTAATTTTTTTTTTCCTACAAGAAAAAAATATCTATAAAAAAAGCAATCGATTTCATTGCAGAATTATGGGACAATATAAGTAATATGACTATTCAAAACTGCTAGAACAAAACGAAAATTCCCCTAAGCACAAATGAGTCAAATATAGATCAGGACGATGAAAGCGATGTTCTATTAGAAAGTGAGAAAATTAAAGAAATAATTGCTAAATTAGTAGATAAAAGTTCATACATATCAGAAACTGCCCAAGCTGTAATAACATATTTACAAATGATTAATGAACCTGTTGTAACAGAAGAAATACTTGATGATGAGAGAATTATTGCTATGGTTCAAGATAAAGAAAATAAATTAATCAGACAGGAAGTTGAAGAAAATGATGAAGATGAGATACCTGACCTATCTGTAATAGCCACTAAAGCATGTAATGCAATGCAGACCATTATTCACTATGAAGAACAGGAAAATTCAGAATCAAATCTCTCCCTTGATGAATTAAGATTTTAAGAAATCTACTCAAAGAATATAAGCATATCTATGAAAAGTCAAAAAAACAAACAAAAATTACTAGTTTTTTTAACTTTTAAGATTTATATTCCTATAATTCATATTCCCAAAATCAAAACTTATATTTTCAAAATCTGTATTACCAAGACACATATTCTCAAGATTCAGACTTACAAAATTTAGATTCGCAAAATTTGTATTCTTTTTATTCTCAAGATTCATACTTCTAGAATATAAATAGATAAATTTTAAATTGTTAATATTAAAGCATATTATAAATTAAATGTTGTGAATTTATTTAAATCTTAGCTTGCTACAATTCTTTATAACTAGATCTATCTTCATATGATCTCTAATCTGTAATAAATATTATTTAATTAGCTTATATCAATTTAATAATAACATATCAAGTGAAATTTATCATCTGTTCCTATATTTAATTAACATATATAAAAGATGTCAAGAGAAAGCCAGACCTCGTGTTTTTAAGTTTAAAATTTACTGAACTCAACTATACAAATTTTTTAAAACCTAAGTCTGGTAAATTATAAGTTTAAAATCTTGAAGTCTTCTCTTAGCGTTACTCATATTTGAATATAATAAAGTCTTGAATAAAGTGTAGCTTATTATTAGTATTAGTATCTGAAAGAATTAATTGTACTACTATTCATATTAATTTACTAGTAATTTGTTTTACATGACTAAATCAGATAACGGATTTTATTAGATATAGACTTACTGTGTAAAAACTTATGACAGCAACTACTACATCACACATAATTATTACTCTATAAATAGCTCTAAAAAGTAAGCTCTTGCATATGAATTGTGTTAGTTACGTATATGGCTATATTATTAATCATATAAAGTAATTTGAGGATCACTTGCTCTGTTTAAAATTAACAGTTCTATTGATATATAGTATTTAAAAAAAATTATAATTATTTTATATAGTCACTAAAATTTTTTATTTACTATTAAAGTAATTATATAAAAGTTTTTAATATAATCACACTTTTTTATAATCACCTAAATTCTGTTTTCTGAACCTGTAACTATAACAAGGTTTGACTATATTATAAATTATTATTATTTTTTTAATATTAAGATAAGATCTTGATTATATCTTTATTAATAGT